CAAAAAAAAAAAAAAAAAAAAAAAAAAGCACACTTGACATATCGAGAATAAGAAATTTTATATTTTCCAAAAAAAAAAAAATGAATTTTTATGTGAAATGGTAGGAGGGTGTGTGGGTTTCTGTAACAAAATGATTAAATTTATCAATAGTTACGTAGTTTTATATTTACATCATTACTTGCTTCTTAAAAAACCATGATTAAAGTGTATCTTTGACAATTTACATATAATTTCTACTTTGCGCTTGGGTTTATTTCTTTTTAATAAAAATCATAATTAATTTGCAGGTATAACACAATAGGTTCAAGCCAGATAGCAGCATCAACAAGTGGACAAAATGTCAATGGAATAGTGCCTGGATGGATGCTTTGAAAATGGATATCAGTTTGACTTTTGCCATTGACATGGTCAATGAAGCTCCATTAATCTGGTCAACCCTCTCGATCCTTTTTTGGTGATATAAAATCTACAATAAGCATGATCTATAATAATTTTGGCTGAATTATGTGTGATATGTAAGAACCTAGTACCATTGAAGAAACACAAAAAGGAACAACCTTTTTTCTTTTTTCTTTTTTAATTTACAAAGTTTTAAGTTTTTTGTGTGCATATTATAATTTCCCTAAACGTTGGATATGTTCTTTGTTCGTGTTTCCATCGGTTGTTTTAAAAAAGTAAATTTGGCATCATATTATCTTGTGATAGTTATTAAATAAATTGATGATCTTGGTTTTGTTACTGAAGGGTATTTAGACGTCATTGTTGTTACAGTTATAAAACAAATTGATGATTTTGGTTTGGGTATTGAAGGGCATTTTAAATATCTTTATAGTCTTATAGATAAACATTTGCACATCTAATGGCCATAAATTGGACTATCTTGGATGTCAAAAGGGTCATGTTAATTAGGCACTTTAGCGAAGCAAGATTTCAATCCTAATGTGTTGGGTATCATGAAATTTGTTCATGAATAATCCAATGAAATATGGCAATTATAAATTTTGGCACAAAACTGGAAATCCTTACTAGAATTGCGTAAAAGGTCTATTTGATAATAGATATTTCAATTTTCAAAGAGCCCTAAAATACTTATTAGTATAAGTACATATATATATTTAATTTCATTTGATGTGATAACTTACAAAATGTTCGTTTTAGGCGGTTTAAGGTAGTTTTTCACAATTAATTTCACTACTTAGGTCCGGTTTTAGAACCAACCACTTTCTAAGAGTTGACTTTCAACACCTTAACTTTTTCTCATTTTGGTATCTCCCTCCTTGCGGTTCATGTAACGACTTTGGGCATGACTAACTCCATAGTGTGATGGGCGGTGTATACAAAGCTCAGGAATATATACACCATTGTATTGTTGACCGACGATTAGTAGTGGTTACCGCTTCATGCACGTGAGTTGCAGCCTGCAATCTGAACCGATGAGGGGTTTTTGGAGTTATCTTACCCTTGTAGGATGGCTACCCTTTATCCCGGCCATTATAGCATGTATTTTGCCAAAGGAATAATGGCCATGATGACTTGGCATCATCCATACCTTCCTCCGGCTTATCACCGACAGTCTGTTCAGGGTTCCAAACTCAATGATTGCAACTAAACATGAGGGTTGCACTCGTTGATGGGCTTAACCCAACACCTTACAACACGAGTTGATTACAACCATGCACCATTAGTGTTTGCCTTCTCGAAGGCACCCTTATCTTTCAAAAGGCTTTGTGACACCAAGTACCACTTGTCGCTGAAAATGAATTTCTTGGACCCTGTATACTGAAAATGAATGCAATTACCTCCATTCCATGTATCCTCATAGCGCACCTAATATCTATACTAAACTCAGTAGTGACTAATGTTTTAAAACCCGGGTCGACTCGGCCGGTTCAACCAGTTGGACCGTGACCCGGGGTAGAAGGCGGGTCAATTGAGAGCGGTTTTTGTAAAAATACGAACCGGATCGAACCGGCCGGGTTTCCCCTAAACCGCGGTTCGACCGCTTATGTCGAACTGGTTAAAACAAGATTGACCCGTTTTAATAGAGCTTGGATAGTTGGATACAAGTAGCGAACGCCAAAACAACGAGCCGTTTGCGGTTTCTTCAATGTTTTTTAATGTTTAAACTTTGTGGACATCAAATTATTGGTTTTATATGTTTATGCATTATGCCGGAAAGTAAAAATATATAAAAATAGAAAAAGACCATATACCGGGTTGACTCGGCGGTTCAACCGGTTGAACGGTTGACCCGTGAACCAGTCATCATACCGGGTGAACTAAAAACCCGGGTTTTAGAACATTGGTAGTGACCACACGACTTTTGGGATTTATGTAAGCGTCATAAGACAAATAAAGGGTGAAGTGTAACGACATAGATCGAAAGACCTTCTAACATACACCTATGAGTAGATAACTCTCTAGTACGCACCTATCCATATAGAATAAAATATGGTTTTCATCATACTCCATTGATGACGAAACAACAAACCACATAGGGTAACGACACAACAAAAGTCATGAACACTTAACAACTCACAAAAAAAGTCACTCGCTTCATCTATAATATGAAATGAGTAAATGAATAGATAGTACTAAGCATAGTCAACTCACAACAAGTAACTAACATGTCAACTATACAACAAACAATAGTAGCAACGATAACACCAGACAACAACATTAGCAAAACAACAATTTCAACAATGCATAAACTACAACTAAACTATCCATAAACTACATTAAAGAAACAACTAAACTACCCATAAACAACATCAAAGAAACAATTTTTGTTGCAATCGTCACCATTTCTCCCGACAATGTTAATGCATTCTATGACATGTTCACCGAATGATGGATGTGAAAATTATTCCAAATTAAAAGCCGCTACGAAGTTGTTGAACTAGAAATTAAACTTTAATGTTTTCAACAACACTAACCATCAGGTAGTGGTTGATGTAGAAGTAATTGTAGCTTTTGTAAAGCAAAAGGCTTTTTTTTACCATTGGAGAAGATGAATTTTTTGAATAGTTGCTCTGAGTTACTTAATATTCTCAAACCCTTTAATTATCTTTTAAGCTTTTTCCATTTTTGTCCTTGCATTTCATAAAAATTAAATTTATATCGTAGTTATATGTAAATATTAATTTATGTATTTTTATTACTTAATATATTTGAAT